AAAGGGTTTAGGCCACAGCTCATTTGATTCTCCATTATTTGGGTCGTAGGTTTAGGGTTTAGGGCTAAGGGAGAGGTATTGGCAGTAGTACGTAGCGGCAGTCATACTAGCAGCAGAAGGAGCAGAAGTAGTAAAGGGAGGGGACAGGGAGGGGAACGAGGAGGATAGCCAGAAGTTCATAACATCAAGCACTGACGGTTGAACATGAGAGGGGTGATCTCAAGCCCAGACCTAAGTCCTGACCCTTGATCTTCACTTCTGGCCCCAAAGCTTGTAGCCCTAAACCCCGCAACGCTGAGCCATAAACCCTAGACCCTAATACCTTCAACCTTGCACTCTGAAGTCCTCAAATTCTCAAAATTTGGCTCGTATGCTGTGTATTGGGAGTTCCCAAAAAAGGAACAATTTCGAGCATCTACCCAAAATCAGAAGAAGTAGAGCAGAATGGCTTCAACCCTAAATTCCCGAACTGCACCGCTACGACGCTCAACGCCCAAAATGCTTGATTCCAAAACGCTAGGCCTCAAAATGTTGAACCTTAAGCTTCTAAACTACTAAACCATTTAACCATTCAACCCCCCTAAACTTGAAACCCCCATGCCCCTGAACCCCCAAAACCCTTAAACAAACTCCTACACCCCTCTGAGGCTGCAGGTAGCCTCCGGCTCTTGGCCCGGGAAGCAGGCATGGGCCTGGGGTTTGGGGTTTAGGGAAGTTTTTCCATTTTGGATTGACGGGCTAGCAAGGAATGGAAAAGGAAGTGGAAACTAATAGTAAGAAAAGGGAGAGGACATGGAAAAACATGCTAAGGAAGGGACAAGAAAATGGAAACTACTAGTAAGGAGTGGAAACGCAACTAGCAAGTACTAAATGATTCAGGATTTGGGGTTTGGGGGTGTTTAGGAGTTGAGGGTTTAGGGTTCAGGGATGCAAGTCTAGGAGTACAGCATGTGGGGTTTAGAAATTAGTGTGGATTCGTTCATAGAGCCTGGGAGGGAGTGTGTTGGGCTTGAGCACCAGGCAGGGATTCCGCTGGGACTATGTTCAGGGTGTAGGGTTTAGGGTTAAGGGCTTAGGGTGTAGGGTATTGCTACTTGGGGGGTTCATGTAGAGTCTTTCATGGGTTAATCAGACTACGTGAGAATGCTATCAATAATCCAGCCTAAAATCATTCTAATGCGCGTCTTTATACTGGAGTCCCATTATTCTCCGGTACCGGTATTATTTTCCCCTCATTTTGGGAATTGTGAATGAGACGAACCCCCAAATCAAAAACACTAAGCCCTAAACGATAAACCCAAAACAAAACCTCTAATTCATGTTGCTTGGGTACGCGCCTTTCATGACGCCTGTGGATGACACAGGCGTCATGAAAAGGCTCCGGGCAAATCCTACTTCACAGCCCAGAGGACGTAGCAACTAGGCTTTAAGGGGCCGGGAATGTGTAGGGGTATACAGGGATATATAGGGTGTAGGGTTCATACATAGTCCATTCATAACCTACTTACTAAGTCTCCTGGGCCTTCAAATGCTACAGTTTAGGTGGCTGCTGGCCGGCCACACCCTGCACCCCAAGCCTTAAAGCCTAAACTCTAAACCCTGAACTCTGCACCCTGCACCGTAAGCTGGTGATTCCTAGGATTCCCTTTGCTTATGTGAGAGTTTCTCCAACTTAGCCTCAAAGAATCTTTAGCAGGGACCCCCAACAATCCTCATGTACCCAGATGTTCCTACAATTCCCAAGGGCCCACCATTTTGAGAGACTCCCATGTAGGGTTTAGGGTCCAGGGTTTAAGGTTTAGGGTTTGAGGTACTGCGTGAGCAGCCCAGGTCTTGTTGAGTTCTTGCAAGACTTGAGAACAGGGTCACGCTGCAAGTACTTCGGGTGCAGCCAGAGTCCTCCCCTGAGGCTCTGAGACCTCACCCAGCATAAGGGTTTGGGCATGTCCCAAATTAGGGGTACCTTTTTGCGGTCCCTATGGTGAGGATTATAGAGCTTGGGGGCTATTGGGGCCCCTAATTTGGGGAAACTTCTGTTTGATGTCGCCTGTACGCTTCAACACGACACCCCTCACCCTCAAACCTAAACACGAAACCCTACATACCATGAACCATTCCTGCCATATCGGGACCATCCAACAAGGGTTAAGTCAGTATCACCATAGCTCGCTGATTACATACGGTAAGGGGCACCTGTGAGTGCAAGGTGACTGGAAGCCGCGTGGCTTGCGCCCGGGCCCCATTCAAGTTTCTGGGGATACACGCAAACCCTAAAATTTGAACCGGATGCATGTTCGGAGACTCATGATTGGGAGAGTTCAATCTAGGCTATCCCAAACCAACTGGCAAGCTGAGGAAAGACATCATGTGGAGTTGGGGCTTTAGGTTTCAAGTAACGGCCTGACCATAGCTTTGAAGGCAAGAACAGCACATCAAGGAATTTCACAGCAGGGTTTGGGGTTGAGGGTAGTGTGGTACGTGACTTGGTTCAACCACCAAAATTCTGCTACTCATGTGAGGCGTCAATCCGACCAACTCAAAACGTGTTGGCATACAGGAAACTATGCCTTAGTGAGCAGTTGCCGCAGTTGCCATATACCATACTTTGAGTGCCTTAGGGGCACTTAGTCAGTAGGTACGAAGCCCCCTATAAGCCATGTGATAAGCTTAGTTATCACTATCATCAGCCTACTTACTCAGTTGACGTTGCAAGTAGACCCAGATTTTCCTTGCGCAGCGCTCGGTAGAGCATGCCTAACCTTCAAGGGCTTAAGGGTTGTACCCTACTTGGAAGGTCATTGGGGTCTTAGTAAGAAGGTTAATGATGGGGAGAGTTGGGGTTCTTCCATGGCGTATAGCGGTTATGAACCTAGTTACTAAGTCTCGAGGATCCTCCAAGTAGGGTTTAGGGTTTAGGGTCCTTTTTGAGGAAATGTAGGGGACCACTTTGGTTCATATAATGCCATATTAGGAAATCCAACTAGGGGTGCGGCCTTAAGGGTAAAACCCTGGAACCAGCCCCATGTCCCTAAACGCAAGATCCTACGAAATCGCAACTCCGAGAAGAAGGTCCGTTGACAAAATCCGACTCAAAAACGGCACAGCCTAGCGCCTTAAACTCCAAACCCTAAGTTCTAAACCCTAAGCCCCAAACTCTAGACCCAAAAACCCAAAACCCTAAAGTCTTTAAACCGTACACCTGAAACCCTCAAAACCCTAAACCCGAAGCCCTAAAATCTATAAATCCTAAACCCCGAACCCAAAACCCGAAAGATCCTGTTTTAAAATTTGCCCTAAGGATTTTGTCTCACTTGCCTAGGTCAGTGCCACTCTGCGCGATGAGGGCACCGCTTCAGTTTTTTTAGCTGCAGCCATTGAGGGTTTAGGGTTTATGGTTTGGGGTTTAGGGTTTAGGGTATTGGGTTTCGGGTTTAGGGCCATAGGGTTTAGGGTTATGGCAAACAGAGGTTTCTTGTAAAAAAGGGACCATTTCAAGGGGTTAAAGGATACATGGCAGTAGATCCTGATCTATCCGGAGGCAGAGGCTTGAGGAAGTCCCGGATTTCCGAAAATTAGGGATCCTTTTCTGGAGTCCCTCTTATCTGGAATTTGCAGATACCTTTGTTGGGGGCCTCACCATCCAACGCTTATTGAATTTGGGACTGAATAGCATGTAAATCCAAGCGGTCCAGGTCATGCGATGTCGAGTTTCCACGGCGAAGTATGAGCATTTTCAAGACGCAGAACACCATACCAGATCATTTTAAGTTGTTACAATGAGGAAGCCCTATTATCTACCACATACCGATATATTATGGTAATTTAATGTAAGGTCCTCAACAGCAACCCAGGTTATGACCGTCTACAAGTCTACCCCAAGTCGATGTATACATATATATATATATGTGTGTATATATATATATATTTATATTCTTTCCATCATCCTATTTCACGCCGCGGCTCAGGGTGTAGGGTTTAGGGTCTAATGTGCTTTCTGTGCCACAGGTCTGCATGAAAGACATGGTTTCAATCGTCCGTTGCATGGAAGAGATCTGAACCAGTGTGGGAGGCTGAATTGGGAATCCAGCTTTCTACCTACTGGGGGTTTGTTGGGAATAAGGAATGTATTATACAGGGACTATATAGGGAGTGTACTCCCATATTCCCTACTGACCACCAGTAAGTTCTAGGTTCTGGATGTTCCAGCTGTTTCCGCAGCTGCGCTCCATGGGAGCAGATGTGCATTGTGTGCGACATGCGGTTCTGAAACAAGAGCTTGACGCCAAAGTTGCCATGTACAGCTAGGCATCGGTACAACTGGAGGCAAAGATCACCGCGGTGTGCAGCAGTTCGCGTGCACGTTAGCGAGCAGAAATATGCTGCTTTTTGGACAGGGTTTCTCGAATGTGGGCTGTAGAGAAGATCCCGCAACTGTCAATTCTATTGGCCTCCAAGGTGCTGAAGGTATCTTCAACACATGCCGTCATAGATTTTTCGAGCCACGGGTATTTGTTCCTTCGGGGACTGGGTAGAAAACGGAGGAGACGCTTGCCAGTGCAGATTGTGCCTCGCTTTTCCTGCTTGATAAGCATGCCACATCTGTTCCAGGATTGGCCGCCCGCAGCAAAATGGTACCGGCTGTTTGGGTATTGCTTATACTTGGAGGGTCAGGGGGGCTTCGTAAGTAGGTAAATAACCCTGTCAGCTGTATGAACAAACCCCTATAAGCCATGTAACAAACCAAATCATCTCCCATTGGTTACTATTTAATTTTCCATTTGATTTTCCGCTATGCATCCTATGTCCCTATATCCTCGCCGGACCGTTTCCATTTTCTTTTTGACTCTTAACCTCCTGACTAAGTTTCCCTGACCTTCCAAGTAGGTGCTGGCCTGGCTTTGCTTCATCAGGCAACCTTGGCAGGCAGCTCAGTCAACTTGATGGGGGACGAGAGCAACACATTCTATGTCTGCTGCCCTCGCTCTGTCTGATGCTCTCTCTCTCTCTCTCTCCCTCCCTCTCCCTCCTCTCTCTACTCTCTCTGTCTTTCTCTCTCACTCTCTCTCTGTCTTTCCGTTTGTGTTTGTCTCTGTTCATCTGTCTGCATGCCAGTAGTCCGCAGTGACAGAGTCAGGGCTGAGGTTGCATGTGCCGGCAAAAGCATTTGATTCTCAAGCTCTTCAGCAACGTGGGGCTTTTCAGATTGGAGAAGGACAGCCAGGATGGCACGCGCGGGTGTAGAAAGGGAGATGGACATCGACCCTTGGGAAGTCGCTCGGCGACCAGGCTTCATCATGGCCACTGACAACTCCAATATGTGGATTCCAGGCAAGGAGACTGCTGGCAAGTTCCAGGGCCTAGACGGAGAAGATCCAAGTTGGCGAGTTCATTTGGGCAACATGGCAAGACACGTCCAGTCCTTCGAGGCGCGTCCCATGGCCTGTATGGGTGTCTTTGGGTCGATTCCGCCCCCTACGGACTCGCTGTGGGAACGCTACATGCAGAACAATATCTTTGTGAAGACCACAAGGCGTAGCCAGTGGAATTCCAAGGAGAAACGCGTCGATACGAGCATCGCAGCCTTCCTGGCTTTTCAGGCAGCCCTGGTTCCTGTGTCGGCCGCAACTGCAGGGCAAACCCCAGAAGATTTCCGCAGCTTCATCCTGGTGAGCGGGGATAGCGACTACAAGGACACCATCGCGATGATCTTGCAGCTGGGCATTCAAGTGACTCTTTGGTCATGGACGCAAGCTGAAGCAGCAGTATCCGCAGCATCTTTGGCTCTGTTACTTTGACGAGCCCCGGCAGAATTTCGAGCAGATTGGGTACTATGAGCCGCTGACGCGCGAGAAGGCGAGCAAGCCTAGCAAGACGACAAGTGGCAGTAGCCAAACTGCCATGTAGCAACGGTAGTAATAGCTGGCCGCAAGAACAATTTTCATTTCACCCTCGTCTGACGCTGCTGTGCCTGCTCTTGCTACTGCTCGTGGTGCTGCTTTTGCTGCCGCTACTGCGCTGAGCTCACCACCGCTGCTGCCACCACCGCACCAGTTGCATAGTGGTAGCATGATAGCCTGCACAGCGCTGAAGGTCATCGGTTGGATGCAAACCCGAAAGCGCCAGACCTTGTTTTCACGCCGGGCAAGATGGACTTCGAGAAGCTGACAAAGAAGGTCAGCAACTTCCACAAAAGCTTGATGGTGTACAACTGGTACTTCCCAAAGGAGGACAAGACGGCCTTGTTCCTAGTAATTCACTTCGATCTTGAGCATGCAGAGTTTGATGCGATCTTTCGGGCAGCGAAAGACTTCTTCGGCCAGAAGCACCAGGATTCCGTGACGACATATGTCAACTGGAGCGCCGGCAGTGGCACCCAAAACAATGCGTCTCGCTCGCAAAGAGGAATTGTACAGCCTCCAACTGTGAACTATTACACCCTAAGCCCTAAATGCTAAACCCTAAACCCTATACATGAATGATAGCAATTCAGGTCTTGGAGTGTTGGGCTTCTTGCCTTCAATCTACGGTGTGCCAGATTGCCCCCGATGTGCAGGCAACGGACAGACTGTGGCTAGAGCGCATTTTGGTATCTGAGGGTTTCACAAATTATAGATTCCTCTTCATGCATTTCAGGGGCTATTTCATGCCTGTAATCCCGCGGAACTCCGCCTTTTTCTTTCGCTAGGCTTATGCAAGACCACAATCATGCATAGGTTGTAGAGGGTTGGCAACGCAGGTGGTTCGGAGGGCCAGGAACGGCCAAAGAAATTGTTGCTCAGTTGCAAGCAGCACCATGCGAGCAGACTTGTCGCATCTTGTCGCTGTCCACGGTCACCACTGGAATTTTAGGACTTCTGATGTGCATGCATCCCAACATTAGTTGTTAAGCCTTATGCTTTGTGTGTTTGCTGCTTTGCTGAACTTACTCATCTCCTTCTAGCAGTAGCTGTTACGAATGGCATGCCGGGGCTTGCTGCTTTGTGAACACCCTTTGTGAGTGCCAACTTGGGGCCATTTTCGTTAGGTTGGCAGGAAGATAGGGTACAAAGGGTTCTGTAGGGATAATGAAAAAGAAAATGGAAACTACTATTTAGGGTTTATAGTTTAGAGATTAGGGTTAAGGCCATAAACCCTAATCTCCAAAATTTAGGGTTTAGGCCTCAAGACTGGAAAATCACATAGACAAGAACATGGAAAATGACATGGCAGATATTAGTATTTATAGGGTTTAAGGGTTTAGGGCTTAGGGGTCTAGGGGTTCAGGGAGAATGGAGAATCAAATGGAAAAGATTTCTCGAGGTCGATGTTCAGGGCTTTATTTATGGCTACCAGAATGGAGAATCTTGCGGAATCACGGGGTTATGTAGCGTTTTGAGCACATTGAATTGCGTCACCCTTTTGGGAGAACCGCAGTAAATACTAGGCATATACATATTACGCATGTTCTGATAACATTGCTTAAGTTCCTCAACACCGACCCATTTTCTTGTGATCATTTTTGGGTCCATGAGCAGCGGTATGTGCCAGACTGGAGGAAACAGGTAAGGAAGGTCTTCAAAGAGTTTAAGAAACAAGGAGGAAACCCAGAAGATCTTGTTCTGGTGGACAGCCATGAAGCCTTTGTCTGGGAAGAGGAAGAGGATCCACCAGAAGATCGTTTTCCCCTATATGTGCTGAAGAAGCCGTGCGACGAGGCTCTGCTTCTGTCGTGTCTGGCTTGCTAGGTTCAAGCCACGCAGTCATCAAATCAGTTTCCACATCAATATTCCATGCTATTGTTTTTGGGTCAGGCCAGCTCAAGCAAAGAAGAATGGCGAACGAAGACGAAGACTTCAAAACACCGCTTCGTGAGGCAGAGCGAGCAAGATGAGCAGAATCAGGCTCTTGCCTCGAAGCCCTGCCCCTGGGGGCAGTTCTGCTTTGATGGCAGTCGCTGCCGTCGCTTGCACTCAGAGGAAGAGAGGGCCTTCTTCCGTGAGCATGGTGGTCAGCCACCTTTCAAGGTGAACCCAAAGAAGGCGGAGTCCAGCTTCATTGTGTGCGACCAGAAGCATCATTACGATGACGTGGACCACTGGAGACGCCAATGCAACTTCCTCCACAAGGGTGAGGAGCCGACCTTCTGTCAAGCATGTCGATCAGCTCCCTGCCGATGTGATGAAGGTGAGGGAGACCTGATTCAGCCGAATGACCTGCAATGCCAGTGGCTGAAGGCCCGCAAGTACCTCTTGTGAGCATTCTAGCAACTCTGAAGTGTTTGTGTGCAGGACAGCTGGGTGGAGCCATGTACAGTGTACAGCATACAGGACAGAAACTGCAGTCAGTCTTGGTCTCCGCAGGCCCGCTGAGGGCTGTCTCGTCTGTCATCAACCAGTAAGTTACTGTTTGTTGACGATGGGTTGTAGATGATGCATTGAGAACGTGTTGGCCTCCAAGCCAAGCGAGCATGATGATGCTCAGGCCTGGCCGTAGGATTCCTGTAGCGAGAAGGCGATCACTTACTCCGTAGTAAAAACCATGCTCCGCTCCGAATTTGCTGCAGGGCCAGTTGCAAGGGGCTTTCTGGGCCCCACGGCCTGAGGGATGACTCGCTCTCTCGTGCCCCCTGACCTTTGAATTTGGGATGTCTGAGGCAGCAGTCCTTGTCGACAGTTGCGTTGCTGATGGTAATGTCAGCCGCGGACCGAGCTGTTTCAGCTGGCAGGGCACCATTACTTCCTTGTATGATCATCTGTTTCCCTCTATCATCATCCCAGGCGTTGTTCCTAGTAGTAGCTGAACGAATGGAGTCGCGCTATTGGCATCTGTGGCTGTGTGATTCTGTAAAGCCTTTTGCAACTGGTCCTCTTATAGGGTCTGGCGTACTGTAAGGTAGAAGACTAGTGTCTGGGGTGGAGTTTGATGCCACCATTGAAGGACTAAACTACCCACATCATGATCACAACTTGCCACGCTACTAACCACTGCCGAAACCAAGGTGCGCTGCAACCTTTTCTCAGCTGTGTGTGCTTCACGGCAGAAAAAGAGCAGGCGCAGTTTATGCACGGCCTTGCCCTGTGCTGTGGACTCGAAGCCAGCCACGAGCAAGCTGATTCGCATTATGGATGCTGCTTGTGAGTGTCTGTGCTCCTTGCAGGTTGCAGCAGCTGCCGGATTTCGACGCGGCAAGAAAATGTCTAAAGAATTTCAGCGGAACCGTGCTGTTTCCCGATGGCCACTACTAACTCTAGCTTTCTGCACAATGTCCAATGCTGCCCCCTGCATGCCATGCGCCCAACCTGCATATCCTTCTGCAATTTTCAGTGATCCGGGTGTGATGATGGTCATGTGCAAGTTTCATGGGTATCTCCAGCTGTGCGCGACACGGTGCAATCAGCAATCAAGCCACTAGCTTCATGACTCAACTCAGCCTCGTCAGAAGGTCGTTCGATGCAGCACGAACTTTGCAGACAAGTCAGAGGAAGCGGTAGTTTCTTGCCAAAGACTCTTTCATGGAGCACCCTCTCCAGGCAAATGGAGGCTGCACATCTTCCTGCAGGTTTAGCCTTCTAAGACTTGGCTAGGCCCAAAGGGGGTATATATCGGGGATTATATAGCAGACCGTTATAAGGGAAACTAGGAGTTTAGACAATGGCTCACATGTAACACTAGAATTCTTAACCCAAAGGGGGGACCTTCAACCCTACCCCCTAAACTGGAGTGCGCCAGTGCCTAGGGTAAATTCGGTCAGAGCTAACGATTTCAGCTACGTAGCGTCTTCGTCTCGGCAACCAGTAGCAAGTATCTCCGCTCTTCTTATCAGGGAGTTCCTCAGAATCCCACATGATCATTGCAGGGGACCGCCATAGGCCCATGTGAGCTACTGTCAATGTTGGCCTTAAGGGACCCTTCGCTGTGGACACAGGGGTCCCTCTTGTACTTTGATTTTGATGTAAACCCGCGATTAACAAACCCCGCTCCTTTGAAGGGCCTTGATATTAGGATCCTTATTATAATCCCTATTAAGGGGAGGGGGTTTATGAATCAAGGGTCTACATTCGTCCCCGCTATAAACCCAATGAAGGCGCCCACATCCATGGAGTTTCTAGCTCATGGAACCCACCTGTGTCCCTAGCGTGCGCAGGGCATACCCACCTTTGGTGAACCCCCCCCCCCGCCGAAATCCCAAATCCTAAGCCCTAAACCTTGAAACCCCAAACCGTAAACCTGGATCAATGTTAGGGGTCCTTCTGTACTTTTTGCGGTACAGGATTCCTGAGAGCTATGTAAAAGGGATCGTGTTTTATTCCTGGCGTAATGCAGGCCAGGAAGCCCTAAAGCAGCTAGGAAGCTTGTCTGCCTCTAGCAGAGTAGACTGTAAACCGTAAGCCCTCAACTGTGTGGTTTGTGATTTTGCAACCGTGGCGCACATGAGCCGCATGGATCCACCTGATGCCCAGACTTCTAGCAGAAACCTGCAAAATGAGATTCTACCTGGTAGTCCTTTCAACCCCATACTTCAACACGCTGTTGGAAACATTTGGGCCCCCGTATCGCTCGGCACCCTAGGCCCTAGAACACTGAACCCTAAACCCTGAACCCTAAACCCTAAACCCTCAACCCTAAACCCTGAACCCTTAACCTTCTGTTGCAAGGCAGAAGAGCTGAACCCCACTAGATTTTTAGAGCCCTAAGCTGCAAAACCTGCAGAGCCTGAATGCAATCAAGTAAGATTCTTGGTGGACATTTAGGGCCTAGGGTTCAGGGTTTAGGGTTTGGGGTTTAGGAGGTTGGGGGTTTCTGGTGTCCCCAATAGATGATAGATTCAGGTTATTCTTTCCTTGGTTTGGTTGCAGGATGGCAGAAAACGAATGCAATTTCTTGCACCAGACCAACGAAAACCTTCTTCAGTTGCAGCAGATGCTAAACGCTGAGCCGGCACCCTAGACTCCTCCAGCGGGTAAACTGCGTGGTGCTCATTACTTGGAGGGTCAGGGGAGCCTTAGGAAGTAGTTTAATAACCCCTATTATCGTGATGGTAAGCCTAGTTATCCCCAATGTAAACCCACCTGCTAAGTATCTCTAACCTTGCAGGTATTACGGGAGTGGAGGAATGGAGTATTCCCGTGTCATAATTCCTATGGCTAGTGCTCCCATTCCCTCCTAAACTTTAAACACGAGGCAGGACAAAGCCCTAAACCTTAAGCCCCGAACCCTAAACCCCAAACTCCAAACCTGAAACCCCAAACTCTAACCTTAAACCCTAAGCCCTTACTAGTGGCTCTTTTGGTGTCCGTGGTCTCGATTCCCATTGCCAGGTGGATCCCGCTGTTGACGAGGACAACTGCAGTACAGCTTCCCGTAAGCTTCCAACTCCCGTGGTTGGGTTTAGGATTCAATTGGGTTCTAGGTTTTTATGGATGTTCACCCATGGTAGGTGCAAGATTTCGACTATCAAGCCTGCTTTCATCCTTGCAACAGTTCAGTGCACTCCCAAGCGGCATCGCCCTACCCTTGGATGCTGAATCCTAAACGTACTACACCTCATAAGCCCCTGTACTCAAAGCTCTTGCTTGTCGACTTCTATATGGAGGTGCCGGTTTTTGAGGCATTAGTTACACAAGCGATCGTTGAGACGGGCATCCAGGTAGAATTGAGCAGGCAGTCCTAAAGGAAATCCCAACCTAAATCCTTCGCTCTAACCCTTAAATCTTAAACAATATTATTAGTATTAGTGTATCGAAAGTAATTATAAACTATCATATTGCTAATACATACTATTGCAAATGTGACAAACTCGTTCTAACTAGGACTTCTGGGAGAGAGTGTCATCAGCTGAGCCCTCGCAGGGGTCCGGGGCCCTAGCTGGAGCCTCCACCTTCAAGGGTGTAGGGTTTAGGGTTTAAAGTTGAAAGTTTAGGGTTTAGGGTTTAAGGTTTAGGGTTTGGGGTTTAAAGTTGAAAGTTTAGGGTTTAGGGTTTAAGCTTTAGAGTTTAGGGTTTAAAGTTCAAAGTTTTAGGGTTTAGGGTTTAAGGTTTAGGGTTTAGGGTTTAAAGTTCAAAGTTTAGGGTTTAGGGTTTAAGGTTTAGGGTTTAGGGTTTAGGGTTCAAAGTTCAAAGTTTTAGGTTTTAGGATTTAAGGTTTAGGGTTTAGGGTTTAAAGTTCAAAGTTTAGGGTTTAGGGTTTAAGGTATAGTGTTTAGGGTTTAAAGTTCAAAGTTTAGGGTTTAGGGTTGAAGGTTTAGGGTTTAGGGTTTAAAGTTCAAAGTTTAGGGTTTAGGGTTGAAGGTTTAGGGTTTAGGGTTTCAAGTTCAAAGTTTAGGGTTGAGGTTTAGGGTTTACGGTCAAGGGTTCGGGGTGGAGGGGCCTAAGTTAAGGCATCCCATTGTCATCCCGATTATAGGCCTAAGCTTCAGGGTTCAGAGTTTACTGTAGGCGCCTAAATAATTACCAATGTCATGGTTCCATATTCCTTGTATAATTTTCGTATATGGTACTTCAAATGGACCTCTAAATGATATTGGTACAGGAATCCCTACTTGGAATGTCAGGAATGCACGGAGTTGTAGGGTTTGGGGTTTGATGATATGATGCGTGTTTTTTTTATCGGTCATAGGAGATATGTAAAGGATGGACATTGGATTCCTGACGCAGGGTTTTTGATTGGAAAACGATAACACACTCACCAAAAACGATAACGACGACATATACCCCGAAAATTGGAAAACGATAACACACTCACCAATTTTCCATTGACCAGTTGCCCAGACCTTAAATAAAAACCGT